TACACCTCACATTGAGAGGACTCTCAAGACATAACTCACTTCCTCACGGTAAGAAGTAATGAAGAGGGTAGATACGGAAGAGAGCAACGTACCACATAATGCTGCCCCCAACCACAAATTTCTCACCGCAACCTGATGTGCATTTATGATGCCCGGTCATTGCCTCGGCACAACCAACAGCAGAATGCAGTTCCACCTCGGCTTAAATGCCACATCAACGAGCTCTCATCATCCAGCGTACACCCCTAATGTAACCTCATAGCTTCCTAGCGCGCCCACTCAACCCTGGGCCGCCTTACGTCCAACGCCCAAGCCTTATCACTGCCCCACACCTCATGTGAAGCACCGAACAGCTATTGCGAAGAACTAATGAGCGCAGTTCGAACCAGCTCCGATACCAAATTGCAAGGAAAATGAGCAATAGCGAGATGACAATAATCAGATTGCACAATCACATTGAAAGCCAGATCGTATCCCAGTGTTCAGACATTGCACCAATACGACACCAATGGAGAATCGTAGCACTGAAAACCAATGTCAATGAGAGCTTGCTCTCGCCACCACCAACATATGTATCCAGTCCCTATCTCCCTACTTGGCGCTCGACGCCCAGCCTACTCCCTACACAGCTACTACTAGCCTACTAATTGACAATGCAACTGTTGACTTCAGCAGCCTCCGAAGTACTTGAAGATGTCGCCCATGCAGACCATCGTCAATAGCAGGTATGTGCCCTCACATCATTATCATCATCATCATCCTTCTCTCTCTCTCCCTTGTCTTACTCCCCTCATCTTCCCTTTGTACACCCGAAGACCACCCCTGCGCCTCACTGTATATCCAAGCCCTCAGCCAGCTATGGAGGCTGGGCTATGGCGCTGCCCTCAGTAGCGCCCTGCTTCTTGCACGACCGCACGCGCTTGCACCTCGCCTCTCAGCGCCAGCAGCAGCCCACGAGCGTTTGCTCCAGCAGCGCTGCCGCTAGCATGCGAGTGCCTGACTGACTCGCCAGGCAGCGTGCTCTTTCCTATATGGAAAGCGCCTGCCTGTCTTCGCAGCCTGACTGGCCTGGGCCTGGGCCCAGAAGCTTCCGGTAGGCCCCAGGATGCTGCGCCTCTGGTGCGGCTACTGGGCCTCATTCAGTTGGGTCTCCCAACTGTCTGTGTATGAGGCTGTGAATCTCGCCCAGGGCCTGCACTTTCGGAATTGCCTAGAAGGCCATGGAATTGCCTTGCTGCTCGGCCTTTGTTTCCTCAACCAACTGGCGCGACGAAACTGCCTGGACCCCAAATACGAATTTGACAGCTTAGGGCCTCTCGTGATTTGTTAGGCCCGCCTTCACTTAGGGCGGGCACATTTGCAGCAGGGGCCCCTCAGGCCCGCCGAGGACCCAGATCCTCGCACTTTCCACAATGCTAATTTAGTCTGGGCCTGCTGCATAATCCATTCATTATCGGTTTTTGGTTTTTCATCACCTGATAGGGAAACTCCTAAGACTCTAATTGGAGACTCTATCGGAAGCCATTTGATCTGAGGTTATTCTGGGGGTCTCACACCCTGGTAATGAATCCCCCACCCCAAGGTTTTATTGCCCCAATTCACCTTCATATAGGACAATCAACAAAATGTGTCCATATTTCTTTTAATTGCTTGCAAATTATCTTATGAGGCCTCCACCATCAACGAGAGGTCATCCGCAAATAGAGAGCAGACTGGGATGGCCTCTTCAGGAATGGACGAGATTTGAATGCGTCTGATGTCCTTATGATGTCTCAAGACAACACAGTGCTCTACTTCTATTTCTATCCCGTGGACAATGTCTGCAGAATCAGAAACAATATAAGGGTTGCAATTGTATGCGAGCAGACATACATTAATGGCATAGTACGCACAGCAGCCTCGCTGTAGCACTATGATATCATCTGATTCTGCAGGTTGTGCAGCAAGGGGAGGTTCATCCAATTCTGCAGATTGCACGGCAGGCGAGGATTCATTGCGGTCTTGACTATTTCTGTCAGGTTCGTCCGGCTGTATCAACTCCATTGGCTCTAGTATGCGCTCCAGAAAGAGAGCATCTTCAGTTGGGAAAGCGGAGGCTGGTCAGCCGCAATTGTTCTCAGAGTGGCTGCCAGTCATGCAAATGTTGCACAGGTAGCTGCAACTCGTGTCTGGTGCACCCGCAGGCCTGCAGCACTAAAGAAATCATCGCCACATTGCGGGCAGTGGTGGAGACGGGGAACATCTCCACCGAAGAGGCATCTGTAATGGGCGATCTGTACGATGGATGCCTCTGCTGATGGGGTTTTTGTGATGGCTGATCTGACGATGAATGTGTTGATGATGAGGTCGACGACAAAGGGGAAGAATGTGAGGTGGAGAAGGAGGAGGAGAGGGAAGAGGGAGATGAGGAAGTGAAAGAAGAGGAGGCAGATGATTGGGGGGATGATGCAGTAGAGGATGTCAGTGAGGGAGGTGGTGATGATGATGGTGAGAGTGATGACGGTGGTGGTGGTGGTGGTGGTGTGTGTGTGTTTGTGTTTTCAATTTTCACCAGAACAGCCCCTATTCCACCAAGATGAGTAGATCCAAAATCAAGGCAGCTTTAGTCCTATTGCAGATAGCGAAATCACTTAGAGACAAACCAACAATAAAACAATTGTAGTCTCTTGTTATGGTGTTGGATCCTGAGTCTTTATGGTTTTGTCTTTTGTTTTCGAACTCGCAACGAAGTTGCCTTGACCTTTATGCCAAGCAGCACAGAGCAAAATAGAAGCAATTAAATCCCTTTCTTAACTGTGTTCATTTTGGCTTTTTTGAGTACCCATTTCATTCGTCCTTGCTGTGTTCATTTTGGCTTTTTTGAGTACCCATTTCATTTGTCCTTGCAACTCTTATTTCAGTGTGCCTCTCATGTACAAGGCTTGCCACGTTGAATGCGGTTGAGCGCGAGTTGCCCACATCCCCCTGTGCCATAACGACCCACTTGCACATTATGAAAGGAGGCAGAGTAAAGGTGGAGGTATGTGTGTGTGTGTTGTCATATTCGCTATACGCTCAAAAAAAGCATGACTGTACCAGACTGTTTCATCAGACTTTCACCGACTCATCAGGAGGTTGAACCCCGACAGTCTGCCCAGTGTGTGTGTGTGTGTGTGTGTGTGTGTGTGTGTGTGTGTGTGTGTGTGTGTGTGTGTGTGTGTGTG